TCCATTTCATCCTGAAACGATAGTTTAATTTAGATTTTTAACTTCTAATTTAAAGTATATTAAAAACAAAAATTCAAATTAGACCATTGACAAACAGGATAATATTTGGTTCAACAAATACCATTCATTAAGTGAAAGGCTACTGTAATACTCTCTGCGGCCTCGGTCTCTTTTGGAGCCTAATACTGTAATACTCTCTCCATCCCATAATTATTGTCTAGTTTGAGTTTTTATTTCTAATTCAAATTGTACTAAAAGTGAAATTTTAAATCGGATAATAATTTTGAGACAGATGTAGTAATAAAGATAGGATTTGAATAAAATAGTGTATATTTGCACTGATAACCACAATTCTAGACGGGTGTGGAAGATTTAAAGTTTAAACAAGTTCAGAATGGACTTCGAGCACGAACTTCAGGTAGCAAAGACCCCCGTTTGCTTCTCAACTCACAACTTGTCTGACCTTTTTTTGGACTCTTTCTGCCTCATTTAATAGGGGATTGCACTAATGTATGCACACAGGTTAAGAAAATGTTACTACTAATATGTTATAATATTGATTAAAGTATGTTTTTAATACACTATTTTATGATGAACAGTTCTTTTTAGTTAATGGAATGACAGGCGACAGCAGTGTTGATTTAAACAAAGTCAGGAAGTGATAAGAAATTATATTTTTAACTAATATTTTAACTCACTGTTAAAATAACTCTCATAAAGATATCTCAAACGTTAAAATCTAATGTTACTGACAATATATATATTACACCACTTTTTAATATAAGAAATATTCCTTTCGGTTCTTATTATAAAATATTTTGATTTATCCTAAATTTATTTATTATGATCTTTCAATGAAAAAAAAATCTAAAAAACACATTTTCAATATTTCATTTCAATTAGAAAAATATGATGAATGAGACGTATGAGAAATCAAAATACCTTATAATAAAGACCGGAGAGAGTAATTCATTAAATTTCACTTGGGAATTCAGGTAACACCACATTTGGACATTCTGAAAAACTCAAAAGGGATATATAACTTTAGTTTATCCTTTTATCCCAATTCTAGACTTCATATTACATCAATAGATATAATATTACTATAGTACGAAAGTGGAATAAAAGCAACCAGTGGAAAAGAGCTCCTTTGCAAACAAATTATTCTATCCTTTGCATAATCCTCAGAAAAATGACTAGCATTACATCTAAGCGTTAATGCAGCAAGAAAAATTCAGGTTTCAGTTGTCATTGAATATCAGAAACAATCATCTAGCCGCTGGTACCATCCACTACACACGCGGAGTGGAGGCAAGATAATAATGGTCGAGTAGCGAAGGTGATTGAATAAAAATATGCTCTAGTTATAAAGTTGTCCAAAAAAAATTCTTACGAATTTATGTTTTAAAATCATTGTTCAATTCGAATTTTGACTTTAATTTAGTATATATTAAAAATAAAAATCTAATTTGAACAATAATTTCGGGACAGAGGGAGTAAGATTTTTATTTTTGGATAAGTACTATTGATGGAGGTATGAACATCGAATCCAACGTCTCCAGATATTTGGGGCTATTTTAGAAACAATATTAAAGAACTTCACTTGTAAGTCTTGAATATTTTCCCAAAAATGACACTAACAAACTAAGTCAAGAAGCTAAAAAAATAAATATATTCTATTTGATTCAAGAAAAGACAAACCCAGGTCTTATTCTTAATTAGAAGGTATCTTTTAAGGTTCCTTGTTTATAAGACATTTGATGACTTTTAAGATTTCAGTTATAATTACTTCCAACTTCACCTCAATTTAAATTAACTAAATTTTAATTTGATTATTACTTTCTAAGAGAGTGGAAACCATTTTCATATGGATAATATAAGTAGTTCATCAAAAAATAACTCCTTTAACTATTTTCTTTACATTTTCAAATGAGTTTTTATGCTTTATATTGAGAATCGGGTGGAATATTATATTTAGATGAATAAACACAGTACTTCTGTTTGGGGAGAGAAGAGGGGACGGGCAAAGTATAACATAAATATTCTAAATTGAAAATGAGTGAGACATTTTTGTTCCAAAGATTGTCCAATTATAATTTTTTGTAAAATTTATACTAAATGAGAACAACATAAGCCAAAGATAGTGTATAAAGATCACAACAACAAAGCCCAATTTATTATGAGAAACAGGATGGTCTGGATGATGGGGTTTGACAGTGATTTAGTTAGATTTTCCGATGTATCTGGGATTTCTATTATAGGTAGCCACAAACCTTTGTTTGGGATATGTTCAAATTCTAATGAGGAAAGGAGGTATGACCAAATCTGATGAAGTGAAAATCTTATATCTACATACATATACCGTAACACAAATTAGAAACAGAGTCATCTAACCCAAAATATATTAGTACTAATTGAAGAAGCAAATAATTTTATAAACTAGGCTTGGTTGTCTTACATACCTGATGTGAAGTGCACAACACCCATTCAAATGTTATTTGGCTTAAACCCAACCCAAAGACAATATTTTCCCGAAACAACCAAACTCGCCAAAACCAAGTTAATGAAACATATAAACATTACCTTTAGGAACATGAGCATCCAATGAAAACTGATTATCATTAAGAGAGGTAAACAATCTTATTAACTAGTTCTGGTTGTTTAGTAAGTAATATGGGAGAGAAATCTGTTGAGTATCCCACATTGGTGATGGGAGAGGTTTAATATCAATATATAAATTTATGGGCTACTCTCCTCATTATCAATTGGTTTTGAGGTAGAATCCCATGGACTTTTATATGGTATTAGAGTCAGTCCACCAAGAGTCGGACTCTAAGCCTGATGTGATAGAACTAGTAGGGCTGAGACATGAGGCGAGGAGTCGGACTCTAAACCTGATGTGATAGAACTAGTAGGGCTGAGACGTGAGGCAATGACTGGACTGAAGAAAAATAGACAAGCTCAAGATGCGTTGGACTTGCGGAGCTGAGTATCCCACATTGGTGGTGGGAGAGGTTTGATATCAATATATAAGTTTATGGACTATTATTCTTATTTCTAATTGGTTTTGAGGTAGAACCTCACGTGCTTCTATAAAATCAACACACGTATGGTTTGAAAACAACCAATTTTTTGAGACATAAACCTGACATGCTAATGATTGAAATTGACGAATGGTACTTGGTAGAAGAATGAGTTGGTTTGTGTCATAGTGAAGAACAATAAGAGGGAAATGAACTCCCCCAAGCAAATCACCGTCTCATATAAGTGATAATTTATAATTTATAAGCAAATTACCTTCAATTAGAAGTTTTTGGAGAAGCAAAGAGGAAGGAATTCAAGAAAGGTAACTAAAAAGATTTTTATCTATACAAAGCATTTAAATTCTCATTTTTTTTTAGAGATTGCCAATCTATTGAAAACATGAGTTGTAACTTCTACAGCTGGTTAAGTGGCCATAGGTGAATGTGATAGATTGTCAGCTGCTCCATTTATATGGTCTAGATATAATATTTCTAAGCATTCATTTATACTGTGGCTGTTTGGAAGAAGAGATAGTTGACTAAAAATAGGTTGATCAAAATGAACATGCTCCAAGGTGATTATGTATGTTGTTCCTGTGGAATTCAGCTGGAAACACTAGAGCATTTATTTTTCTAATGTATTAATTCTGCTGAATTGTTGGATAGATTGGTTCTTTGGTTGAGGATCTCTGCAATGTCCTATAAGCAGAGCGTTTGGAGAGATAAAGAGTTATATGAGCATTTGGATTAACACCAAGCTGAAAAAGAGCATAATGTGGTCTATTATGGCTGCTGTGGTGTATTATATTTATGGGAGGAAAGAAATGCCCGGATTATTGCTGGTAAACAGAGAACAACTGAGCTGATTATGATGGTCATTAAAAGGGAAATTCAGCTGCGAATTGAACACTGTTTGGGTACTAAAAGGTCTCATAAGGAGAGGACTTTGATGTCACAGTATTTTGATATGTAAATAGAGGAAGTGATGTATAGAATGAAGCAGATAGGCTTGTAATAGTGGAGTGTTTTTGGTTGTAAATATGCACTTTAAAAGCATGAGCTATCAATACATTTACATTTTACCAGAAAAGAAAACTTCTACAGCTGGTCATAGAAAAATCTTATAATTTTAAAAGTATATGTCTTTAGGAAAGGTGAGTTCCGCAAGGTAGTACTTCTGGGTTGAAGGGAACGAATACAATGTTAACCTACTCTGTTCTTTCCCTATCATCATTTCCTAGTACTTGTATCCTCCTTTTTAGAGCCAAGGAGGAGCGGTTTCATACAAATATTATCGATAAGGAACCTATATATTTATCTGACTAGAATAGAGATTAGTTTAAGATGATATATACTGAATTAAAATGATTTCATGGTTCATATAATTAAAATTATTTGACGATTAGTTTAAGATTTATAGAGTTAATTTTGCTATAAATTAAGTAGAGAATCATTTCTCTTGACCACATAAACCAGTCTGAAACATAATTTCATTGCAAATTTCAGTTATCAGATTGATACAGGTTGTTGGTTTTATTTGTAACTATATGGTTTATTGTGTCATAGAGTGATACAAAATACAAAGTTTCATTAAAACCATTCTCCAATTGAAACAAAAACAGCCATTTAACAAGCATCCGAAGCAATCGGATCCCTATTATGGCAATTTTGCATTCTGTTTCCACTTTCCAGTTATGGAGAGTCTAAAGATTAAAGCTTTTAGAAAATCGAGCATACTTTCTAAATTACCGAGGCTGGATTAAGATTTCTACAAAATTTTAGGAGGTGGGTCGCTGAGTTTAACTGTTTTTTTACATCAACGACTAGGACATACAGGTTTCAACTGTTTCTTTTCCTCATTTTCTGAAAGCATCGTTTGGCAAGAAAACCAAAGAAAATAAATAAAGGAATAAATGTCATGACGAAATCACCGAATCAAAAGCAAATCGTCAAACAATGAGAAACAATAATTTGTACCGGATATATAATAGCCGACGGATCTGCTTGCTTAGGATTGGGCACTCTCCAGTGAAGCAGGAAAATCGATGGGCAATCTTCTTTAGGATGGAAGTTCAGTTGGTGAGCTCAAACAAACAGCGGCACCTGCGATATCAAGGAAACAGAAAAATTCAGGCACCGGAAGTAATTCCCTGACGAATTCCCAGAGCTCTGGGCTTATCCCATACCATTGGATGATGACGATGATGAATCAGAGACGCCTCTGACCACCGGAAATAAAATTCAGGCAAGAGCCCAGCAGCCAGACAGATTGCTGCCGAAGTTTACCGGAACGCAACTTCGCCGGCCCCACAATGGACCCCCAAAGGATACTGGCGATTGCCGACGACTTGACTTCGCCGTTCTTTTTTTTTCCGGCCACTTGTCAGATCTCTGGAATTCTTTTTTCTTTTGGGGAAACCTCTCTCGCCTGAAGTAAGAATCAATGGTCACTGGTCAGGTCGCCATTTAGTAGCAGTTAAGAAAAGAGTTTATATTTTGCTACTTCTTGAGGGGAAAAATTTCTTATATTGGAAATGTTTTGGATACAAGATGAAAATGCAGGGGTTCGAGTAACGCGGTTATTCAAGGTTCAATAAACCATAAAGTTCCCAAAAATAGTTTGATTAGTTATGTACTTCCGGGTACACCTTCTTTGCCTTTTTTTTCTTATGGTGCATGATTAACAAACCAGCGTTCCGTTTCAAAAAAAAAAAAACAAACCAGCGTTCCGTTTAAATTTTTATTCTTAATACAAATGTGTTAAAATGGAGTTTATACTAAAAATAAAAATTAAAACTCTAAACATAATAGTCATTAGTTTGAGACAGAGGAAGTAGTCAAATAAGATAATGACTAATGAGGATATAAAATCATTAATCTTACTCTTAATAATCTAACTAAAAAGAGATAAGTTTGCAATTATGTTTATGTCTGAGAAGTTATTGTTTCATTTTACTATGTTTTGACGCTGAATATTGTACACCATTTTTCTACCTATAAGGAACCGTGTTAGATAGTGTGCGTTGCAGGAGAAACTAAAAAATTTATATTGTTTTCATATTATATTAAATATAAAAATAAGAATTCAATTATTCACACTCCCATATTTCACCAAAGTGATTTAACTTCTATAAGTGGACAATGAATTTTAATTTGAACAAAGTTTTTTTAGCCCTAATTTGAGGGTAAGTGTTTTATTTAAGGTGGTTGAAGAAATTAACTGAAAATGTTGAGACCATATTTTAAAAAGGTAAATTGAACCATTTATGGTATTTTCTTCCTAAAACGTGGGAACATAAACCATGGTTTGAGTGATGTTGAATGTTGTATTTTAAAAAGTTGATGTATAATTCCATTTATCGTACTAACAAAATTCCAAAATAGCTAAAATGGATGAATTGATTTTTTTATACAATTTTTTTTTTTAAAAAAATAAATTACTAACTAAAACAACGTGCTTTTCATTTGATTTTATTTAAGTGTAAAAACTTTTAATTATAAAACAACACTTCTATTTTTCCGTCGGAATCGTTTTAATCATTCCACTGTTCACCTCCACTGGTTCGTCGTCACCCAAAACCATCTTTCACTGCACATTCATTATCACCTGTTTAAATCTCATTTCCCATGCCAAATTTAATCCCTGAAACATATCCCAGAACTTCACACAATTGAGGACACAATATCCAATATTCATTGTCAAAGCACCTAAAAACTTACCACAATGATCCCGACATACTCTCGCCATTCCAGTAGAGCGTTTGAATACATCCTCAACATTCACTTTCGTCTAACACCACCGGAGGGAATTCGCAATGAATCTAAACCTTTTTTCTCACCAAGTTCTAATTAAGATGTTTGATTTTATTTTTATTTTTTTTTAAGAAAATAAAAATAAAATTTCATAAACTGGTTAAGTTCTCCGGCAAAGATTAACAAGATCTTTAAAAAATTATTAAACAACCAGTTGTTGTTATCATAGAGAGATCTTTACAAACATGCCTAAGCAGCACATTGTTGGAAATATCACGTACTAGAGTATGAATACGATGAAATCGAATACATCATTGTTCTCTTATTTAACGAAGCATGGACCTGTACGGTGCTTTAGGACAGGCGGCAACGATGATCTAGGTAGCGGCGGACGGCCTAAAACCTGCAAGACAAAGTCTCGAGGGTCTCCCGAAGGTAGACTCTCTGATGATTAAGTTAATAACGGTATAGAGCGTAGAGAAAGAGGTAATTGTGCGTGTGTATAAGGTGTAGAAGATAGGTAGAAGATATAAATTATGGGAGATGCACCACCTCTTTATATAGAATTACCTCTTTATGGGAGAAGTAATTGTGCCTGTTTCCTTAAACCTAGTTGGAATAGGTTTAGGCGGTTACTTAGCCTTTAAGTAATCTAACCCTAGGCCCAATAGGACTAGGGTTTAATTCTGAGTCGTCAAGTGCCCCTCGCAAGCCACATTCTCGAGACTTAATGAGAAGAATATGGGTTGCTATAAGTACGAGGCTGGAGTGTTGACGGCTTCTTGACTTCTGTAATTTTTTCCCTGTTCTCAAACATGATGTTCCTGCAAGATGAACAAAAGGGTGATGGTCGACGGAAGAAGGTCCTCTAGGGGACAAGGGTCGACGATGACGGGTTCCTTGGAAAGACAAAGGTCGGCAAGGGGTGGTTCTCGGAAGGACAATGGTCGACAATGGAAGGTCTTTCCAAAGGACGATTTTCGAGAGAACAATGGTTTATGAAAAGACGGTCTCTGTGAGAGACAATGGTCCGTGAGAGGACGGTCCTCAAATGGATGAGTAGTCGCTGGAGAAGGGTTCTCGAGAAGACAATGATCGACAGAGGGAGGTCCTCGGAAGGAAAATGGTCGATATGTGGTGGTCTTCTCGAGGAACATGATGCATAAGGACTTCTTTGAGCTCGAATAGCTCAAGCTTGTGGATCCTGCCATTAAACTCGACAAAGATATTGCAATAATAATAACAATAGTGTAATGACATATAATAATAGGATGATTATATGGAATATCAATTCAAGTAGAGGATGTTAGGATGATTCCTCAAATTCCTCGATCTCATAATAAATTGATTATTTGAGAAGGTGTTACCTCGATTCCGAGAAGGTAATAGTTAAAAAGATAAAGTCGAGATACATCTTCTCGAACACTTCGAGTAGTAGTGTATTGCTCGAGGGATGCTTGCCCCTTCAAGGAGATGTATCTCTCGAAACTTCAATCCTCGAAATTGCCCCTTACTTCGAAAGACTTGAGAGCTTATCTGTAAAATTAGAAAAGTATTAAGGTTAATAAACCATAAGATAAAAAGTATAGGGGTTGAATTTCAAATTTTCTAAAATTGCTGAAATTCTTCGTGGTTAATCCTCATACCCCTTGTTGGCTTGTTCATAGGTTTGTTTAGGTCGGCATGGAGGTCGATAGCGTCTTCGCCGGCTTTGTCGTTGGCAGGAGCAACTGAACAAAAATGTTGGCAGACCTGTCGCCGATCCAACGAAGTCGACGCAGAAGTCGATAGTCGTCAGTACGGGAATTTTCAAATTCTTGATTTTGGTTTTCGCGTACATGAATTTAGAAATCAAATTAACCCGATGATCATCGTAAAGCACCAATAAATTTCAGCTTCATTTCAAAAAATTTATTTGGTTGTGAAGACCAAACAAATCGGTCCCACCTGACGTGCCACTTGACGAAGTATGGATCTGTACGATGCTTTAGGACAGGCGGCGGTGGATGGCCTAAAACCTGCAAGACATAGCCTTGGGGGTCTTCCGAGGGTAGACTCTCTAATTCTTAAGTTAATAACGGAATAGAGAGAGTAGAAAGACAAGGATAATTGTGCGTGTGTATAAGGTATAAAAAATAGGTAGAAGATATAAATTATGGGAGAGGCACCACCTCTTTCTATAGAGGTGGTGTTACTTGTTTTCTTAAATCTAGTTGAAATAGGTTTAGGCGATGACTTAGCCTTTAAGTAATCTAACCCTAGACCCAATAAGACTAGGGTTTAATTCTGACTCGTCATTATCAAAGTTTCAAATTGCGAAAAAGGGAATATTAGCATAGCCATACACCTAGTTTGTTACATCCAAGTTAAAATTGGTTATTTACATTTTAAGGTTATCAAAATTGACAATTTATTCCATGACTTGTAAAATAATGAAAGTGACATGATATAACAAGTAAAAATCACTGGAGTCCCTTGTTTATTCTTTTTTCCTCATGTTTTTCATTTTTTTAATTTCTTTTGGTATATTAAAAACAAACAATTTTATTAATAAATTTTTTTAAAAAAAGCATAATTAGTTTTTGCTTAATACATTTGTTTCTTTAATTAATCTTAATTTATTGTGACGGTTATCATAATTTATAAAATTCTGTTTTTTTTATTTTTGGGAAAAATATACTTTTATTAACAATCACTGGAATGGATCTCGCATAAATAGAGATACAAAATTAAAAAGAGTACTCCATAGGATTTTGATTACATTTGAACTTTTAGCAAATTTGGCAAAAACATGAGCGGTAATATTTTCTGACCGACGAATCCACGTTAAGCTTTTCACGGGTAAGTCATCACACATATATATGGAATTGGTTGACAAGATAAAGGGCCTTCAACTTCTTTGCTTGCCGCCATAATGATAAGATGAGAATCCCTTGTATGATGTCCTTTGTTTTTTATTTTGAGTGGAGAAATATAGAATGATTAAGATTTTACATGTTCGCAATTTAGCATATATCTTTGGGTTCAATATTTAATTTATATTAAATTCATCTTAAATTATGAGTTATTTAAATTTGTGATGAATTAAGTTTTTTAAGTAATTAAATGAATTTTCCAATTCTTTTTTCATTTCGGAATTTGCTTGTTTTTTAATGAACTACAAAATAGTTGAAAAAAAAAATGAGACAAAGGAATAAATACAGAATCTAATAGATTTTTATTTTTATTTTTTAAAAAAATTATCTCTATAGACCCCACTTAAATGTAGGTAAAACCCAATTACATATTCCTTAGTAGAAATTAAACTCAAATATAATATCAGAAAGTACAACTAGCCTGTTATTCAATTCCAGATTTTTATTTGTTATATCAAATCATTTTCATTATTGTGAAGGTCATTGGATGTGATTCATCTAATTTTAATAATGTTAAAACGTAATGAAAGAATTTTAAAATTTTAAGATAAATTTATAAACTGGTATAAATTTTAGGGTGTACAGGCTGGTACACCTTTAGAGAAAAGACAAATAAATCTACATGAATTGAATTGCGAATTGCGAATGACAAATTTTGTTATCAGCAAATCGATCTACAAAACGAACAAAAAAAGTGAAAGGTGCTATGCTAAACGGGAGCGCGTCGCACTTCGTTTGTTGACGTGGAGGATGGTCCTTCTGCTGTTCTGCTAAAGAAATTACCGGGAAACAAGTAGGTGATGAGTTTGATAACTACTGGAGGCACTTTTTGAGTTTTTTTTTTTTTTTTTTTACGCAAATTACATCACATCACTGATTAAACCTATCACCCCACTTTGTCTAACTTGAACTTAAACGAATCATCTTTATATATATTATTGTAATGAAAAAAAAAAATGAAATGAATTTATTAAAAGGCTAGCCCACCCCATTCAGCAAATCGATTAATATACACTTTAATAAGGCTCATATCAGGGCAATGTCGGGGTAACGTGTTTTTCGGTAATTTGCCAGTTGAGAATCAAAACGAAAAGGGAAAAGTCCAAAATGCCACAAAACAATGCCAATATATATATATATATATATATATATATATATATATATATTGATAGCAGCTGACCGCGCAGAACTCATCGTTCTCAACTCTCAAGTAATAAGTCGGGAGGCCTTAATAAATAAAAATCGATTTGTGCCCTCATAGTTAGAGCGTCATATCTTCAACGTGAGATTAATCAGGGTTCGATTTCTACTGCGAACGTGGAAAGCGAACGGTTGAAAAAGAAAATAAGTCACTGACCACTAGCCAGCTTAAACATGTAGACCTTAAAAAGTCTGTTATTATCGGCCACAAAAAGCCGGATACATCGAACAAAAGGCGCATATAAGTTGAGTTTCCTCTTAATAATACTATCCTTTCTCCAATAGGCTCTACTCTTGTTGTAATTCAAGTATCTTTAAAGCACCAACAGATGCAGGCTAAAAAAATCGAGAGACCTCGTGGAGTAAAAAAGAGACCACCAAACGGAACGAACACTCAATGGGGAGAAGAAAAAACCATAGAAGTTTCTATTATTTGCATGAAGCGCTCTTGCTAGGAGAGAAGGTGAAGACTTTGTTGTACTTCTTCTAAATATTATGAATACTGATCGTGCGGTTTCCAAAAAAAAATCTATAATGTCAAAATTAACTTATGTTTATTGACTTTTTTTTACACATGTTAAGTAATACATTTTTATTCTTGTTATCTGATTACCTATTAATGTCAATGAAGGATTGGCCTAATGATAGGGACTTTGACACTTATCTGTAGTGACGCAGATTCGAACCTCACGACAGTGATTTATCACTTGCTATGTTTTCCTGCATGGTAGAAGACAATAACAGTCAGAGGAGGTCCTTTCAAGAGTGGACAAGTGGACTAGACATGCACGCGAGGAGTCTCTCACTAATAGTACTATCCTTTTTTTATAAATCTCATCCATATAATAATTTAGGCACTTATAAGTTGGTTCTTGAAAAATTACCTATTACTATGGTCGTTGATGAGAAGATGGAATCATGGCATATATGATCACCATCCGTTCATACACTGCTTATCTTGCAAATACTCCAACTAACACAAAGCGCAATTACAAGAGCATTACAATTATAATACAATTTAACATGATTTTTTGTTGTTGTTAAACATGATTTGATTTCTTGATATATCTTCACACCCCATGGCCAATTCACTCTCAGCTCTAAGTTCTCCCATTTAATTTACGGTTTATGTATGGGTCCTCAATAATTTGAATACACAATTAAGACATATTTGTACTAAAAAATCAATCTAATCATATTGGAAATATTATTATTAAACCGATTTTAGTTGGACTCGGGATTTTTGTGTGTGTTGTTGTTGTTTTTATTATTATTATTTTTTGGGGGGTGGTTGTGTTCAACACATGATCGATGTGTATTTTTGTTACCCTTTGAGATTTCTAAAAAGACATTGCGGTGTATATATATATATATATATATATATATATATATATATATATATATATAATAAGAATACAAAATTGCTATGGGAAATCACGTATCCTGAAATGATTAGTGAATCCGATAAGAGTTTGACCAGTTTGAACCTAGATACACCTTGCAAGGTGTACCTAGCAGTGCGTGTATATCACCCAAAGCCAAGAAAAAAGTGGGCAATTTATCCTGATTTTTATGTTTTCACGCGCATCATTCAATCTCGCATTTAATCACCCAATTTTATCCCTTTTTTTTGGCATTTTATCCCCTTTTTTTTGACATTTAACCCCTTGATTTTATCCCTTTTTTTTTAACACACGTTTAATTTTAAATCTTTTTTTTTTGGCTTATCATGTTAGCTTTTATATTATTTTATTTTATGAGATAATTTTTTTATAACGATTGATTTTATTTTGGTAAAATTGACTATGGTGAATCATTGAGACTTATGAATATGGAGAATCAATGTGTATTTTCTCAGTAATGAATAACCGACGTTTAGACAATGAATAATGTTATGCAATTATTAAAAGATGAATGATGTAGAATGTATTCATTTTATTGGTGAATATACATGCATAAGGTGATGCGTAATATATGATTACTGATGAACATAAATTTCATTGTTGTTTTTTGGCAGATGGTGTATCATCTTGTTAAGATTTTACGATGAGTATCTTATTTTAAGTAATGAATAACAAGTTATTATTAATGAATAACATATATTGTGCTTATTGAACGATGTTTCAACTCTGAGAAATAGGCTTTTGCTACTTATAATATCAATGTTATGGACGTGATGAATAATGATATTCTTGTAGTGATAACGTTATGGACGAATAAATTAACTTGTATAATTTTGTAATAGTATATTTTATTTACTAACTAATAATTAGATAACATTAAACAAACTAAATCAATTAAAAAATAAAAATAAATTAACTTTACCTAAATAAATGAATATTTAACTTGGCCTAAATTAATTTTACCTTAACCAAAAAAATTATTCAATTAATTTGTATCAAAAAAAATTAACCAACAAAAACTTATTACACACTACATCAAGTAATACAAAACAAATACAATTCGACGCATAAATAAAATAAATAATTACATAACATCTAATTTTTTTTAAAAAAATTAAGATAAAATAAATAATTACATTAAATTTAGAAAAAAAATTTAAAAAGAGCGAAGGTCACGGTCTCACTATGCGAACAGTCGGCGGCACCGCACCTACCAACCGTGGGTAGTCCGACGATGACCCGCGCACAGACGGTGCGCGACCAATGGGTTGCACGCATTAACCAAGCAAGCTGTGCGGCCCGCGACCGATAAGCACGGTGTCGCCGGCCGTTCGCGCAATGAGAGCGTGACCTCAGCTCTTTTTTTTTATATATTTTTTTTCAAATCTGATGAATATATATATAATAAAAAAAAAAGTAAAAAAAATGCATACTTACGGTGGCAAGATTTTTTTAAAGAAATACTTAAAGAATTGAATATTAATCAAGATTAGAAGTTTTTAGATTTTAAAATAATAAAAAGGAGATTAATTTCTATACTTGTTCAAATAAGGGTAAAATCTTAAAAATTTGGGCTTCACTAGCATTAAGTGAGCTACGCTTAGCATTACCCTTCCCTTATCCATACCAAAAACCATCGAATTAAATTGGAAAGTTTCCGTTCTATGTTTAAGACCTTGAAACCTAGGTTGTCCGAAAGCACTGCTCCGACCAAGGTGTGTAGCTGTTTGGAGCGGAAACCTCCTTACTCCTCAAACCAAAAATAGATGATTATGGATCCATCAAGTAGATTAAAACCATAACTGCACTTGAAAATTTTTTTTTTTAAAAAAACATAACTTATTTTAACCTTGAAGCTGATGTTTTCGTCAGAGTGAAAATAGGATTTCCAGAACTGTTCCGAGTCATTTCCATAGATTATCCTTGAGAAAGCCACATGTAGGTAGTTGTATAAGGATAATAATGTTTAGACGGCTGAGAATGAAGCTACTTTCAATGTAAAACAGAACAAACGAGATAAATGCATAAATTCAGGAGTGATGTTATTATCCATCTCAAACCTTTGCAGTTACAAAATCATCTCCTGATGCCCAGAATAAGATGCTGCTTGCTGCTACATTTTTATCAATGGAACACTTTGAAGTTGGTATTAAAAACAAAACTCCAAAGTGCACAAAAATATTACATAATGATGATGGTAAATCAAGTTGCACGATCGAAGCTCATCTGGGACTAGGAGCAAGAGGTGATCGATGCTCATTGGAACAGTCATCGTCGAAGTTCTGTGAATAGCTCTGGGCATCGTAACTGTACCGTGAAGTAGTGCTTCTCTGCCACCTCTGAGCTATAGGTTTCCATTCTGATTTGAACCTCCAAACTAACCGCTTTGCCACATGATAAGACCCTTGAAAACATTTGACAGGAACTCTTCTTTCAACCCTTCCAAGAGTAGCTACCCAGAGACACTACTGCAACTGATTCTTCTTTCCCACTTCAATATTTGGATCTTCTTCAGACATAAAATGCTTGAAAACCTCATTCTTTCAGACCCTTCGATCTGAAGAAGATGTTATCGACTACACTTGCAAGAGCAATGGGAATTCACTTCATTAGCTAGTATGTTAGTTCATTAACCAGCATGCACTTTAATAGTGTCTAACATGACAAGAATGGGAGCATCAATTTATCACTTATATTGGATGTCACTTTCACATTTTTTGGGTGGTGATAAACAATTTGATCGGGCATAAACTAGTCAACCAAACTTTGCTCCTTGTAGGTCCAGAGGGTCTACTGTTCCAAGCAATGGAAACGAACAGAAGGATCAACAATAGACGTACAAATGTAACATCATTATAGGGAGATGCTGCATTTGCAGAAGGAGATTAATTTCTCAACAAATTCTCTATAACTAGTGGAAGTGACACTCCACTTTCATAAACACCAAAAACTGATGTGGTGGGAGGTCCTCATTAAAGTAAAAGATCAATAACTTCCCACTATGATAGTTATATGGTGTGAGAAAAGCACAATTATGATGTAATATATTAGATGATAAAAGGATAAAACATCCTTAAAAAGAAGAAAAGGGGCAATTTCAGTTCGTCAGTTTGGTTCTTGAGACTTTTGGTTTATCATTTATCTTTAAAATCATGTCACTTTTTGGCACATTTCAACAGCCTAATAATAAAACTCAATAAAGTTCAAGTAAGAAACATGCTGTATAGCATAAGCTTTATTCAATCCTCTAGATTAACGGATCTTTAGAAAAATTTGTATAGTTTCCCATGTACTAGAATTGCCAGAGATGAGATTTTGAACAAGCTTCAAGGACGAGAAATCAAAAGAGTCATAATTTCAAAAGGAGTGAACCAAAAGATAGCATCAAGGGATAAGAGACCCAAATATGCATTTGTATCTTTAAAGTGCCAACCATCCATTCTAAATGGGTATGTACAGCACTAATTTGCTTTGGATGTTTTAAGATATCGGTACTAGGATTTGATATTTTCAACTTAAACAAGAAGTGAAAAGAACCATAAAAGCTGATATAAGGTTTGGAAAACATCAAGCTGAATAGGCAGCTTCACTTGTCCTTTTCCAAGAGGAAATGCTGGCAGGCACACTATTGACGGACAAAAGGGCCAGAAAGCTCCATCAGACAAAAATCTTAATTTCTACCGTATCTTCCTGTTTACCTCTTCTTTAGCTGACTAACTTCACAATTTTTTGGTGGGTTGAGAAAAGAAAAGATCTTCTTTATAAATGTTATTGTTTGCTATTCGTAATTTCATTCCAGATAGTTATTATAGCAAGGATATGACAAGTGCTTAGCCAAATGTCAGAAGGAAAGCACAGCCAGAAAGGGTATAAGAATTCTCACAGTTTTTCAAGTGATAAAACCAACTATTTATCCTATTATGTCACTAATGGCATAAGAACTCCGAAAGAGACAATTGTGACAAGAGGAAGTTGCAAACTTTTCAAGGTACAAGAAAGTTACCAGGAACCACAAGCATGGAAAATATAGAGACACCAAATTCTCTCTGCAACTTCACCTGCAATTATTATTCAAAAGTATCAAGTGACAGTTGAGAGACATAGCTAACTTATAAGACAATTAAAAAAAATAACATGCAGGATCCCAAAGGATAAAGACAGTGTGCCACCTTTCACTAGCAGTTATGAACAGCATATCTTGCGATATGACAATCAAGAAGTTGATGGAATTAACAAGGCTATTACAGTAATCACATAAGAAGAATTTTCACGGTTCAGGATTCAATTATTTTGTCAGTTAGACATACAACACAGTAAACATCTAGACATATTGAGAAGTGAAAGAAAAGATGGATAGGACTTACATTCTGTATGGTTCTTCCGATCCATAACACAATTGCAACATCTGCATGCCAGTCATTGGTAATTGTTTATAGATGAAAGGTTCACTCAGATACACAAGTAGGCAGAAGTTACAAAATATGTGAAACCTGATTGCAGACGAGTCTCCTCTCATCCTACTCTCTAGTTCAATAAGATATGACTTCAATAATGGTGACCTGCATCATAAGCATTAAGTGAAATAGATGAACCTGTGATCTTGATGATAAACTTGACATGCAAATCCTTGTTAAATTGAGGCAACATGTAGGAAATATGCTTCCTTATCAAGAGCAACATATCCAGTCCCTTGTCAAAAAACTGAAACCAAGGCAAATTCTATGGAAGTAGCATTTAGGACTAAACATGCAAAAGGAATGAGGAGGAGAAGAAACTAGAATGATTACAATATAAACAGCTCTGTTTCAATTCATGGACGGTAATGATCATCTAAAATTCCTACATTATCTTATAAGTGAATTGTGTACCTTAAAGGAATTGCCGCTGCTGGAATAATAGGAAATAATTTCAACAAACAATGAACTTTGTTGGTCAAAACATCCTCCAAGTACTCAAGAGCACCTTTTTCCTAGGTGACAACAGAACGCACAGATCAAACATGTACACGAACTATCAAAGTCTTACAGAAAGAAGTTAAGTCAACAGTCCTAGGCTGTGCATGCTGGTTAGCATTTAAAGAAATGCTATATGTATCTGATAATATTCCAGAGCAACCAATCCGCCATCAACTAATGTATGCAAACTAAAAAGCAATAACCACCGAGCATCGGTACCTGGCATTTTGTATATTAAAGATGATTCAAGTAGATCCAAACTAAATCAGAACATTCCACAAAACTTGATTCAGCAGGGACCAACGTGTACCAATACCCGCTCTATCTGCATGCCTTCTTGCTACTGTACTCAGCAATTATAGAATGTTTACTAACTTTTGGAAAATCACATAACGGACTCTTTCCTTTTTTCTGTTTCTTTCAACTCCATAGTTAAAATGCCAGTTGATTAAAAATTATAAAGACATCTCCAAACATAATTTCAGTGGTAATTTCAACTTGCATCACAAAAAACTGCAGAATGAGTAGTAATCCTAGAAAAAGTTCAATTGTAGCGATTTCAATCTTAAAGAAAAAGCAGGTAGGTAAACCTATGTTGATTCAATACAGAAAGCATAAGTGCCAAAAGAAAGAAAAAAAAAAAAAACCTATTGCCAACAGAAAAAAAGAAGTACCTCTGTGGACGCATGTTCTTCAAAGCAAGGATTCTGTGATCTTCTAAAAAGCAGGTCTTGTACTTCACGGTATAGTTTCGAGATGGTGACAGATTTATAAGAACTTGATATTACCTTTTCAATTAAAGAACTCCATTTGCTGCCAATACTTCCAGATAACAAAAGCTCCTTGCACGGCAAAAAGAGGCCAAAAAAGGTTAGGGTTAGCTTTTCTATATGTTACTGAAGGTTATGAATCTGATGGGATCTCTAAGAAGTACGTATAGAATTTTCTTTTTATTTTTGGCAAAATGGATGAATCTGATCCAGCAATATATCAATAGCACAGATGCATGCAGAGGTATCATACTGTTCTGTACATTAAGTCATTGCAATAGAGTATAAAATCACATAGAGCAGTATCCAAGAAAAGATAGAACACCTTACAATCTTTTCATAGTAATCATCTGTTTCATCTGAGATAGCCATTCTTCTAAGCACCTCTACCCATTGATGCTTTGGTGCTGACAACAGTAATTTTGCACCTGAAACCAGTCTAATAGTTCTCTTATCCAGCAAGTATGAGAGGGCTCTTGATTTCCACAGACTCCAAACTTCAGGTTCAACAGCTCTTTCCTCAACCCTTTGGTGAAAAATAAATCAAAATTTTTAAATTAGAACTCATACAACATGCCATGCTACTTTGTAATCTTAGGGAATGCAAAGGTTTCTACGTCAGAATGTATCTAAGGTCTCTATATGCCAACACATCTATAACAACCTAAGCAAACCCAACAAGGATATTGAAGTAGAACTCACATGACATTTTTCGTAAGCTGTGGTTTCTTGCCAAAGTCCGCCTGCGGTAAACTCTAGAGTTCTTTAGTTCTCTAGAGTTTATAGTTGACTGTCCCAAGCCAGTGTAAAGGAGGAGGGTTTGCGTTAGGTTGGCAGCCAGCAACAAAAAACCCCGCCATTCTCATGAATATGGATCATATAAGAAATCGTGTAAATGTTAGGACGCCACCCGTTGTACGTGGCGCGCCGCAGGGTCCGATTGCGTCGTCTTGGCAAGGACCGCTACATCTCCATGGGGACTTGGGTGTAGTGCAAAATGTGCAAGAGGCCCCGTACGCCAAGAAAGCATTACAAGTTAAATCTTTCCTTTCTTGGCAAGGACCACTATACTCTCATAAGGGCGTGGGAGTAGTGGGAACTAGGAAAAATGCCCAATGTAGAAAACAACCTAAGAATAAGCATGGAAATAATAAGACTTGTAGGTTAGGGAGTTGGAACATAGGGTCTTTAACGAGTAAATCTCTAGAACTAGTAGAATGTATGAGAAGAAGGAGGGTAAATATAATGTGTTTGCAAGAAACCAAATGGGTAGGTGAAAAGGCCAAAATTCTTGATAACACGGGGTACAAACTTTGGTATAGCGGGAAAGATAGGAATAGGAATGGGGTAGGTATTATAGTGGATTCATTATTCATAGACCAAGTAGTAGGGGTGATTAGAAAGGGGGATAGATTAATAACCTTAAAAATTATAATAGGAAATGAGGCCATGAACATAATTAGTACGTATGCGCCTCAAGTAGGATTAGACGAAGCCACTAAAACAAAATTTTGGGATGATTTGGAGTCCTTGATCCAATCAATCCCTCAAAATGAAAAAATCTTTATAGGTGGGGATTTAAACGGACATGTAGGAAGGGAAAATGATGAATATGAGAGGGTTCATGGGGGTTATGGTTTTGGGGTACAAAATATTGAAGGTAAAACTATATTGGACTTTTCCGTGGCATATGACTTTGTCATAGGTAACATCTTGTTTAAAAAAAGTGATGAACACTTGATTACATATAAATGTGGCTCTAACAAATCACAAATTGATTACTTTCTAACTAAGAAGAGTGATAAAAAACTTTGTAAAGATTGTAAGGTGATACCGGGAGAGTGTATAACAACTCAACATAGGTTGTTGGTCCTAGATTTAAGAATTAAAACTAACATATGTAAGAGAAAAATACCTAACATACCTAGGATAAAATGGTGGAACCTTAATAACAAAGATAAAAAAGATAGGTTTACTAAGACGTTACTTGAAAAAATTAATTGGAACATGGAAAAGGAATCTAATAAAACTTAGGAAAGGGTAACTAAAGAAATAAGAGCAATTGCTAAAAAAGAACTAGGAATCTCAAAAGGGAATAAATGCAATAAAGAATCATGGTGGTGGAATCAAGATATTCAAGAAAAAGTAAAAGAGAAAAAAGTGTGCTACAAAGCCTTATATACTTGTAGGAGTGATGAGAATGTTGAAAAATATAAAATTGCTAAAAAAGAGGTGAAAAAAGTAGTAAGTGAGGCAAAGATAAAAGCTTTTGAAAACTTTTATAAAAAATTGGATACTAAGGAGGGAGAAAAAGACATTTATAAAATTACAAAAATAAGAGAATAGAAAACACAAGATTTAACCGATATTAAATGCATAAAAGATGAACATGGGCATGTTTTAGTGGATGATAAGATCATCAAGGATAGGTGGAAAGATTATTTCCACAAACTATTTAATGAAGTAGATAATAGGGAAATAACACTAGGCGAACTAGAGCTAAGTGAGAAGCATAGAAATTTAACATATTATAGGAAAATCTAAAATAAAGAGGTTGAGAAAGCTTTGCTCAAAATGAACAAGGGTAAAGCCGTAGGTCCCGATGATATCCCAATAGAGGCATGAAGATGCCTTGGTGAATTTGGGATTAAGTGGCTTACGGAGTTATTCAACATCATCATGAAGAGTAAGAAAATGCCTAACCAATGGAGGAAGAGTACACTAATACCCTTGTTTAAAAATAAAGGAGATATACAAAATTGTGCTAACTAGAGGGGCATAAAACTAATGTGCCACACAATGAAATTGTGGGAAAGGGTAATAGAAACTAGGCTAAGGCAAGAGACAAACATAATGGAAAACCAATTTAACTTTATGCCCGGAAGATCAACAATGGAAGCTATACATTTATTAAGAAGATTATGTGAGCATTTTAAAGAGAGAAAACAAGATTTACACATGGTTTTCATTGACCTTGAAAAGGCATATGATAGGGTTAATAGAGATGTAATGTGGAGGGTGTTAGAAAAGAGGGGAGTGAGAATAGGATATATAGAAATAATAAAAGACATGTATGATAATGCAACAACTTGTGTGAGGACTCCCATAGGAATTTCGGGAGAGTTTCCCATCAAAGTGGGTTTGCATCAAGGATCGACGTTGAGCCCGTATCTTTTTGCGTTAGTAATTGATGAAATCACTAATCACTTGCAAGTTGCCATCCCCGAATACATGTTATTTGCGGATGACATAGTTCTAATAGATGAAACAAGGGAGGGGGTTAATGCCAAGTTAGAGACTTGGAGGGGGGCGTTAGAATCTAAAGGTTTTACAATTAGTAGGGCTAAAACGGAATATATGGAATGTCATTTTAGTAACCGTAGGAGTAATAGTATGGTAAATGTTAAGATAGGAGAACATGAAGTGAACACATCTAAAAGTTTTAAACATTTAGGATCCATTATAGAAGAAAATGGAAATATTGATAAAGATGTAACACATAGAATCCAAATCGGGTGGAATAAATGGCGTAGTGCCTCGTCAATACTTTGTGATCGTAAAGTACCATTGAGTTTGAAAGGTAAGTTCTATAGAACGGTCATTCGACCGGCGATGCTTTATGGATCCGAGTGTTGGGCCACTAAATATGAAAATGAGCAAAAAATAAAAGTAGCGGAGATGAGAATGTTAAGATGGATGTGTGGGCATACTAGACTAGATAGGATTAGAAATGATGATATTAGAGAGAAAGTAGGGGTAGCTCCAATAGACGAAAAAATGAGAGAAAACCGTTTAAGATGGTTTGGGCATGTGCGTAGGAGACCGGTAGAGGCTCCGGTTAGGAGGGTAGAGGCTATAGAATCAAGATTTCAAATTAAAAGGGGTAGGGGTAGACCTAAGAAAACATGGAAAGAAACTATAAAAAACGATTTGAAATTTTTAAATTTGTCCGATGAGTTGTGCACCGACCGTACACGATGGCGACATATGATCCATATAGCCGACCTCACCTAGTGGGAAAAAGGTTTGTTGTTGTTGTTGTTGTTGTTGTTGTGGTTTCTTGCCACAGAGAGTAGTTCCAAGCTCATTTGAGTTGCTATTTCTCACAATCCTGGAGAGAACATCCAATCCTGCTTCAGCTACTGTCAGGTGTGAGAGTTCAAGTTGCCTCGTAGCAAGTTCCTGAACGGCACACCTGGTAAATCCGCCTTTTAAGCTGATTTTGTCCATCCCAGGTTGTGCTTCTGAAGAACCACGAGTACATTTTCCAGGAAGAGTAATCCTTCCGGTAGGAAAAGTGGTTTTGGTCGCATCAAGTATCAATCTGTCAAGATATACATGAAAGGCATCACCACTCAAACTTTGAAGTTCTTGAAAATCAACCTGAACAATGGCTGCAATTGTAGCTCTCAGATGTGTGTCCCTCAAAGGTAAGGTATGGATTAGATGGCTAAGAATGAGACATCTGGCTTGACTGAGACTTGTTGATGTTAGATTTTTAAGGCCCTAAAACAAGTGAAAAACAAAAGACTTCACCATTAAGAACTTAAAAATTAGGGAAAGCGTAAGAAAAATGACATGTAGCTAATGCACATAGGAGCTAAAGAAATTGACAACCTGCAGGAAAGAGGGACTCGAATTGATTTCGAGTAAAGCCAGATCAAGTTTAGCCACAGAGTCTTGGTGATCATCAGAGCTTTTCCAGCACCTCAGCACCTTAAAAACACAGCAAAACAGACACTGCTAAAGCAATCCACATCTTCAAAAGAAATACGTCTTCCTAATCTATGAAATTTAAACAAGTATGATATTAAATTGCCAAAGTATCTTAAGCTGGAAAACGAAGAATTCGGCAGGATAAGCTAATTTGTCCATAACGTTACAACAATAACAGAATCAGCATTACGCAGAATACATCATTTTTTTTTTTTTTTATTTTTTTTAACATTAGGCAGAAAATACAGAGTCCCCATACACAATCCCTATTTACATATGTATTGCAAGCAAAGGTACAAATTCTGTTTCCACCAGAAACGCGAGTAAACTGCTAAGATTTGAATGCACCGAGAAAAAGGCTACAAATTCATTCCCAAGACCAAGAGAACAGACTGCAGGGATGGTGCTCGCAAAAGGTGGACAGTGGCAGTGCCTGAGGAGTTTGTGGTTCCTGGATGTCACCACCGTTATCACTTACCACTCCTACATTTGAAAAAAATGAGACACGAAATAAACGAAGAGAAACATGAAACACCCAACTCAAAGGATAAGAAGAAAACGTGTCAAACCAGTATATGGAGGAAATCACCTGTATGTCATGCGCGAGGGTCTACCGAAATTAAACAGATGAAATCACCTGGTTTGAAATTCTCTCTCTCTCTCTCTCTATATATATATATATATCTGCAACTGTCTATTTTTTTACACCGGAAGAACTCGTTCAAGAGCATTCTGAAGCCTCTGCTCACTCACGATAACAATCACGAGTCAATTTGTTTTGATGACAAAAGCACACTTGTTCTGACGCAAAATCTCTCTAGCCAAGTTCACCTGAACCATGAATTCACTAGGCATGTATAAAGCTTTTAACTCCTGGAGTCTCGTAAGGGAACTCAATCCTTCAGGTGGATCCTTTAGACTCTGGCATCTTTCAAGCGCCAATGTGGAAAGATTGGGCATCCCTCCCTCCCTAACTACCAAGTTCTTTAAGTTATCGAGATTCAAGAAAGCCAGATGCCTAAGCTGAGGCATTCCAGAATCAGAGCAGGTCATGCACTTACCCACAAAGGCATTATTCCGAAAAGTCAGGACTAACAAGTTGGGCAACTTCTCCAATTTTTCCATTGGATCCTCATTGAGCTCAGAACCAGCAAGAGAAATTTTAGAGAGGCTATGAGCAATATTTATGGTGATCTTGCCTATGTGGCCTTCGAGGCGCAAAACCTTAACATTTGGAAATTCAAGTCCATCTTGAAGAACTAAGTGGTTTTTCATTGAACAATGCACAGGCAACCTCACCTGCAGTGAGGAGAAGATCAAGCTGTTCAAACTTATCCTTAAGGTGTTATTTATTTCAGCCAGTTCCTCTAGATCACCAGATATGGTTGCAACCAATTTTTGAAGCTTAGTTAATCTTTGTAGATCTTTCACTTCACAAAGTTTCGAATCAAAGTTCACAAGTATCTCTAAATTCGTCAACCCATTAAATTGCAGTTTATCATCACCCTGGACTTCAAATTGCCGTGGCAAATAGAGATATCTGATGGATATCAACTTTTGCAACTCAACTGGTATGACTATTTTGGTTCTGGTACATTCCTGCAGATCTAGTGTTTCCAAGTTTGGCAAGCTGCATATGGATGAAGGAAGGCTTTTAATGAAACAATTTCTTAAGGAAAGGCACTTAAGATACCTTAGCTTTCCAATTCCATTAAGAGGACTTGTCAGATTAAAGTTGAAGCCAACGAAGTGCAATGTTCTAAGACTTCTTAAGTTACTCAACTGACACAGCGCTTCTGGCAATTCCAACATTTTAGAATTACGTAGATAGAGTACCCTTAGCCTAGAGAGATCGCACTGATCAGCTAATTTCTGAGATGATTGTTGATGATCTTTTAGTGCTGACCCGTTTGAAACGGACTGAAGGTGATGTCTAGAAACATCCTTCTTATAGAAATCACGAAATCCCACTTGAAAAGATAAAGCAAGTCGGCGAACTTTAGACTTAGGAAATGGTAAAGAAGATGACCTCAAGTTGATGTCAGTAGCCCGTCTGAAGTGCGCGACGAGAAAGTCACCTTCCACTTGCTTCAATAAGCATTCGTCATGGATCAAGTCATGAACATAGCAGGATTTGAACCACCTACCAGTAGGAACCTCGTGTTTATGAACAGACACCAAGCTTCTGATGCATAATTCATATAGATACCACTCAGCAATGTCCATCATTGACACTTTTGCATTTGTATCTTTATCGGGTATGATAAGACCTTCAGCCAACCACAAATGAGTTAAAGTCTCTGTCTTAATCTCTGCACCTTTTGGGAAGATGCCTAAATAAAGAAAGCACAGTTTCAAGTGATGTGGCAAAGAATCATAAGACAGATTCAAAACTGGTCCCAGGAAATCAGAATTTTCTTGGAAGGAGCCAATTTTATGAGAAATCATCATCCATTCATTTGGGGTCGGCTTCTTCGATGCCAGTATACCTCCAACCACAACAATTGCCAGTGGTAAGCCCGAGCATTTTTTAGCAATAACCTCAGCATATTTGGTTACGTTTTGGATGTCCCAAGCATCTGCATAGTTGCGAAGCAGCAACAATGTAAATTTTTTAGGGGTTCAAAAAGAGGAGAAAGAAAAGGCAACTGACGGATACCCAAAACAAAATCAGTCAAATGAGCACAATCAGTATAGGTGAAATATTAACACATCTAGGAGGTAATGGAAGATACACGCTTAATAAAATAAAAGGCTTGAATCTGTTGTTTGGGGGGAAGCTAGAAAAATCAAACATTGAATGACAGACTGATAAAGTTCCTAATTCATCACCTCACGAGGAGTAACAGAGGCATGGATTAATGCTAAGATAAACTCGGCAAGGGAAAAATCGAAAATCAAACCAATACCTGGAGAATGAGCTCTGAATGCTGTGCTTAAGAGTAGGTGCAGACTTTGCTCTTGATTCAAAGAACTCATTGGATAAATAAATCCATTTCCTGAGGCTGTCATGTGGGCAACTCCAAGATAACGAGTAGTTACCAGCACTCGGCTGCCAGTGTTTTCTGAGGAAGGGAAAGCAAGACTGAGGCAGTCCCAAGCAGAGTTGTCCCACACATCATCTAAAACAATTAGATATCGTCTGGTTCGCAAGACATTGAAGATCTTTTCAGCCAACTCGGAATCGGAGTAGGGAATCAGATCTTGGGGAGGGCAGGAGCAAAGGGAGAGCAAAATATCTTGGAAAACCAGTCTAGTCTGGAAACAGCTGCCAACGGAAGCCAAGGCAAAGCAATCAAAGTGCCGGCGAACAGGGGGGTCATTGAATACAGACCGTGCGAGGGTGGTTTTGCCAATACCAGCCATCCCACAAATGGCCACCATCTTGAATCCTTTCCCTCCCTCTTTCTCCTCGATCAACAACCGAGTCACTTGATCCTTGGCATCTTCAATTCCCACGATGCTATCTTCTTCGTACTTCCAAAACCTTTCCATTTCTACCCCGTTTCTTCTTTCCGATAAAGGGGTGTCATCATCTGAATCTCCCGGTGCGCCCAGTTGACCCCGTTGACCTGGTGGCAGGAGAGAGCCGGCTTTGAGTGGGTCTCGATAAACTAGCAATCCGCGGTTGACCACTTGGATCCTGGGTATCAAACCCCAAATCTCAGTCCTCAATAAAAGGTTGAACCCGAGGAGCTGAACTCCGGTCAGGCACTTCTCCACTGTAGTGAACCAGCCATTTGTTCCTTTCGAACCCCTTTGTTGAATCAGCTGAAATCTCAAACCCTCCAATAAGATCTCGTCCACCAAATCCTCCACCTCGTAAATCAAGAATCGAATATCGCGAATCATCACCGCCGTACAACCTGGGCTACCATTGAGTAGGACTCGTAACTTCTCCAGATTTGATGACAGCCTCTCCATTTCCGATTGAATCATTAACAATCGAGAAATTCCATCCATTACCAACCTCTGCAGCTTATCCAGCAGCAGATCTACAAGAAAACTCCCCATTCCCACTCAGCGTCAAACCTACTCTTTTTCTTTCTTTCTTTTTTTTCTCTCCTCTATCTGAGTATCTGGTTGGTTCTGCGTGATTTTCACCCTTTAATTGTTTGGTCGTGTTATAAAGTAACTTGTGAAGAGCGGATGGCACTCCCCGGTCTTTCGTTCGTCCATCCAAGGTCAAAGGCCCTCCCACGTGCCAACTTTCGTTCATCCTCCCTCTCTTCTTCATAGTTCACATGCTTAAGCTTCCTTTTCTTATCCGTTCATCCTCCCACGTGTTATTGCTTTCTTCTCACTTCCGCCGCTCCACTTCTACCTTGTGTTTAGTTTTCTCTGCATATTTTTCTTCTTCCTTTTTTTTCCCCAATCAAAGAAGATCCCTAATTGTTTCTCCATTCACTCTCTCTTTTGGTTTCAAGAGTGTATATAATTGAGAAATCACCCCATCCTATGAGTAAAATAAGAGAGAGCACGACAGATTTGACCGGCGTTGAAGATCCCGAAGCTATCGAACTCCTGGTCACCGGAGTTGTAGATTTAACCGGAGTATCTGTTCTTGAAGGGGTCATTTCTGTCCCTATATCCCTCACAAAAATCGATCTAACAACCGCAGCTGCAATGGCACCGGAAGAAGAAAATCCAACATTAATTTTTTTCATTGATTCATCCATTTTCTTGGTTAATTCCCCTTTGTACGGAATCACAAGGTCGTCATAATGGAGGAGGAGAGTTACCCACATTTTCCTCGGCACAGTGGCTAGGTTTTTTAGCTTGTAAACGTGATTTTGCTTTGATGTGCATCTAACTCTTTCAAATTCGTTTCAATTTGGTTTATAATTTAGTGATGGTCTATTTTCAGGTTCGCATCGTTTTTGTTCCGTGAAATGTCAAAAATTAAAGTCTGTGCTTTATTCGGACCTCTTAATTCGAAAGAGAAAGCTGTTCATGGTTACAAGATCTGCACTGAAAATCCTTCGTAATCAAGGTCTCCAGCACTGATATTTGTTCTTTATATATCAATTCCAACTTCTTTTTTTCTTCTGTGTTTGTTCGTTGTTTAAAATTTTTTTTGTGATATGTCTAAATCATTTTGTTTTTCGTAATGAATGTGGCAGGATGAGGAGGAAGAATATGAATTCAGGTTTGATGGGGTCTTCTATCCAGGATCTCCGCAAGCTGACGTCTATGTATTTCTGGCTCTACCTATTCTTCAGGGTACGTGATATGCTATGGTATATCTTTCTTGGTTAAGGCTATTCAAATGAAATGATTATGTGGTGTTTGGCTATTTATGTTGGGAGAGACAAGGGGAGATTTCAGAACATTAGAAATGAGTTGTTTAATTTCTACAATTTCTTTTTGAATTTTTAGATTGCGCAGATGAAGCAGATTAGGAAATGATATATATGATTTCCTACTCAGTTGCTGAATCATAATTTGCAATGAGTTTGAAGGTTGCTTGAACTTTTTGTTGTTCTTGTCAAGCAGGGGATTTTAATGTAGTATGGTGCAATTATCACACATGGACAGGTAGTGTCTTTATTCTGTCTGGGTTGTATGCAATGTGCCTCTTTGCGTGTTGATTTTCTTTGGATCTGGTCTAATTTATTCGGCCTCTGTGCCTCTATGTAGAGAAGCGAAGTTCATCTTGCATATCTTTGCGTGTCGATTGAATACTTTAGCTAAATGAAATACCAATCTTGCCTTGCTAAATGAGTTTTGCGGCAACGAACTTTAATCAAGAATAATTATGCAATGTTCTTTGTTATAATGGATTGTTCATTAGTGGAAAAACACGATGCTTTCTATTGATTTTTGTATTGTTAATTGAAGATTTAATTTTGATGTGATGGTGTTTTATAGGGTAACGAAGTGGAAGCCTTTTTGTTTGGCCACTAATTGAAGCAGTGAAGGTTTGAATTCCAGTCAAATCAAAATGGTAATTGATACGATATTTGTGTTTGTGTTGTGCTAAGATTTGAACATTGTCCTTTCTATTGATTTTTGTATTGTTAATTGAAGATTTAATTTTGATGTGATGCCGTTTTATAGGGTAACGAAGTGGAAGCTTTTTTGTTCGGCCACTAATTGAAGCAGTAAAGGTTTGAATTCCAGTCAATCAAAATGGTAATTGATACGATATTTGTGCTTGTGTTGTGCTAAGATTTGCGCATTGTCCTTTTTTTTTTTTCCATAAAGGCCTATGTTAATGGTGTTCGTTTTTTACCTTTGCCAACAAAAACATTGATGCAGGTGGTTTTACATTGTGTTTATTCTTTGCCTGTTGCTATACTTTTTCCCTTTTAGCCTTTTCTTGTCGCCTTTCATGGTTTCATGGGGTTTTATGTTGAGTTTTATTATAATTGTCGTATTTAACAACCTAATTAGTCTTGTTTATTAATTCTGCAGAGACTCAGAAGAATGAAGGATAGAGTGAGAGATGAGCCGACACTGGAATGAAGTTATTAAAGAAGGTGAAGAAGAGAAACATGTTGATGTCTCCAAATTATGATTTCTGCCCAGCAAATGTAACCACTTCTCAAACAAAAGTCATTAATTTCTTTGATTCATTTTGTTATTGGTGTCTCTGCGTCACTGGTGTTGTGAGTGGTTTTTATGATCTTATAAAACCGATATTTAAATGTGCCGATTTCATGGAGGAGTTTGAGACCACTCAAGCCTTAGTTTCCTAAAATAATCCTGGTATGCTGCTAAACTTTCTGCAGATGTCACTAAAATCTTATGTTTTGGTAGCAATACACCATAAGGAAACAAAGTTGATGCAGCATGTGTATATGATTTTTTCCTTTTTTCATGGAAAGTTGGTGGTATCTTTTTTATTGAAATTTATATTTAAATGATTGCACTTTGCTGTTTGTGAGTTCATGAAGTTGATACATTTTAAATTTTCAGCTTGGAAAAGCTGTTTTGTGCAACCTGTTTTATGTGATATGATATCATTTGAATTAGTTTTTTGATACGGATAACTTATTTGTTCATCGAGGTTTGTGTTATACTATACGGATCATTGAACCAATAACTTATTTGTTTATCAAGGTTTGTGTTATACTATACTGATCATTGAACCACTTATTGGTTGGGTCTGAAAGTAGTTTTAAAGTTGGCATGGAAGAGATTTTTTTTTATTTTTTTTTTGAGAACTCCAAACTTTTAACTGTTCTTTGACATTTGTGTTACATGTTTGTAGAACCTTTTGAACTAATTTATTTTCATGATTCTTTGCCTTATACGGTTACGTTTATGTCAGTCTTTACAGTTTCTAAAGCGAATTTATGGTTGATTCAAAATCCTAATTTTAAGAGTTCCATCAGTATGAAATTTCTACAACATTCAGAATTTTTGGTTTTAGTTGAGTTTGAAATGCTGTTATTTAATAATTATAAGTCCTTTTTGAGAATTTGCTTTTTTGAAACTCTTGTATACTTGCTGAATGGTCTGTAAAACAGAGTTGTGGATGTTTCTAAAATAGAGTTCAAAGTTAACACCACAAACTGACTTTTCTGTAGAACTGTTAAGTTTCAGATTTAAGAGTCAACTGTGTATTGTTTTCACCAGTTTTGAACCTTTCTGGATGATTCTTTTTACTGAAACTTCCCTACATATGGTGAGATATATATAGAGGTGTTTGTGGTTCAGAAAATGACTTTGTGATTACTTTGTATAACACGAATTAGAAGGGTCTACCTTGATTTTGCAACTGTTTGTTTAGCTAGCTAACATAAACTTGTAAAACTTTTTACAGTTTATTAGAGTGAGTGCGCCAGCAGGGGTCAAAACCTAAGCCACGACATCCACCAAGAAGAACTAGCGCAACGTGCAACAAACAGTTTCTAACATCTCTCCAATATCCTTCAAGAATTTGGCCAAGTGACTAAAACATAAGAAAATCCCAGCTGAAAACATGGATGATGAGGAAACTAGCTAGATGGAGGGATGTGTTTGCTTCCTATGATTTGCAGATCACACGTGTGCCACTCTCTTTATCTATTCCGCTTGTATTATCCCGTTTAGACAACATTCTTTCTATTATTATTTTTTTTTCTTCCGGCGGGGCCATCATTCCTTTTCTCTTTTATTTTTTTTATTGTGCCATTTCATTATTATTATTTTTTACCGCTCACATAATGATTTTTTACTGCAAAACTACATAAAGTCTTATTCTCAACAAAAACTAACCGTCGATACTTGAAAGAAAGTAGTTGCTTCCGCTCTATCCACAGTCCCAAATCCTACTCCTAAAATTCAGCTGCCCCAAACCAATATCCCCCTTGAGAAGGAAACCCTCTCTTTGTCTCTTTCTCCACCAGAGATAGAGAGGCAGCCTTTTTCAAAATCCTCTTTGTTTTTTCCTTCATCTCATAAGGTTTAACTGAAAAGATTAAACATGAAAAGAGGAAACCAAAAAAAAAAATGGATTCAATTCAAACACAGAGAAGAAAAAGCGGGATTAACCTCCTAGCTTCAATGTCTGAGACTTCGCTCAGTCTACAGACAGCCTCATCTGAAAATGGTTGTCAAGTTTAATTTCTTTCTATATTCAATTTTTTTTTTTTATTTCGGAACAAAGTAGATTGTATCATCCTTAATTATTCTGACTTTGATTTCTTTTTCTGTGGTTGTTTTTTTCAAGTCTTGCCTAAACGAATTGAACTAACGTGAGTACAGAGATACACAGAGTAGAACTCCAAATCTATACTAAAATTTACATGACGGGCAGTGCGCGGAGTAGTTCTCGGCTAATTAATCAAAGTTTACTTTTTGTTTGATTCAGAACCTAATTAAAAATGAATAATTTAGAAAGTACTTCAATAAAAAATTCAGTTCAAGAGGAATATGATATGCCTCAACAACTTGCTCTTCTTAATAAGTGGTCAATACCAAAGGTACCCACTAATACTTTGTATGAATATGGTATGTTTGATCGATACTTGGTTAAACAGGTAGTTAAAACTACTGAACAATCAATTGCTTTAAATTCGATGAAAGGGTTTTACAACTTTTATGCTCTGAGATATTGAATCTTATAGATCTCATAAAAATTATAAGTTCATGCATATTGGATTGGTGCAAATTGCATTTAAACCTTTAACTTTAGAAGGTTTACGAATCTTTTATTCTTTGCCTTACGTGATGGTAGAAATTTACATTGGAAAAAATCCCTAATGGGCATAATACTGATCAAACCTAGCTCATGGTCCAGTTTATTTTAATGTCTACCCAAATTTACAACTATCATTGTCGATGTTAATATACTCGATGCTTTAACCTTAAATGTGAAATTACATGGTTACAATTATTTACCGGAAGTGAACTTATTTGTTTACATTACCGTATTTGTTTTAAATTATTAAATACCTTAACACCCGGATGTAAGATTATAAGTAAACCATCGATGAAACCATACTAATAGAAACTAATTTTTATAAATCTCAAATTAGTACCCGTAAAACTATAAAATGGGAAGAAATTGAATTTCCGAGTCTTGGCAAATTAATAAAGGAATTAAAGGAAACTCATTAACTCATAATATTACAAGTTGTAATGTTACGAAATTGATCAATCGATAATGGTCGGATAAGTATTACTTTTGATAAACCAAAAATTCCTAAATTACTAAGATCCACTCTCTAAGATCTTTTAAATCTTATAT